CCATGACAAAAAAGGGAACAGTTTGGGCCACAGGAGTTGCAAGATATACAGGGTTTGAAGCTGACATTTCAGATGAATGTACTGGGGGGAAAATATTGAGGACAAATTATATTTAACGCTACTTTTTGAGGGGAAAAATGAAATGAAGAGGATGTAACTTGTATGAAGTTCACCCTCACTAACTAAAGGAAATTGCAATGAGATGAAGGTTTGCTTAGGTACAGGGTGGACAACACTGGCTGTACCTTGCTGTGACAGGCAGTGAGCCAGGCCCCTCCGCGTTTTGTGCTCTGTGGGGAGAGGACAGGTAGGAGGATGCGACAGGAGCAGCCACTGTTCAGCTGATGCCACTGTTCAAAGACTTACACTTGTGTACAGCCAGCCATTTGAGTGTGCTACAGGTGTCTTGCACAATCTTTCACACTAATTATACACATATAAGATACTAAATATCTGGGTTCAAAGCTAGTTCCAGCCTCCTCTGCTCTGAGATGAACTGGCACCTGATTACACAAGGCAAGGACAAATGACGCGACTGCTGCATGTTGTGGGCAGTCGCTGCCCACCAGGAAGAGCCCATTGCCCTTCCCAGGAACTATTAGGGTGTGCTGCACAAATGTCTCATAATACACTTCCCCCTGGGGTGCCACAGCTCTGGCTGGATGCCCCGTTCATCTCTGCATGGTCCAGGCACTTGGAGCAGAGGCTTGGCATCTACCACTGATACAAGCTATCCTGGCTTCTAACATTAGAGCCCTGAGAATGGCAGCTGCCAGTTTGTTGCTGGTTAGGCTCTGCAGCAGTTTCACAACAGTACAATCAGAGCTTTCACCCCTCATGTGTCAGCTCCACGGTGCCCACAGCCCTGTCATCCCACAGAACAGCACGCACGTAAGCAAACATGATATGCTGTGACAGAAGGTTTCTATCGCACGACAGATCAGTCGATGTATCATAGAATCATAGTTTCATAGTTTCTAGGGTCAGAAGGGACCTGAGCAGATCATCTAGTCCGACCCCCTGCCATGGCAGGAAAGAGTACTGGGGTCAAATGACCCCAGTAAGGTGGTCATCCAACCTCCTCTTAAAAACCCCCAGGGTGGGAGCCTGCACCATCTCACTTGGAAGCTGGTTCCAGACCCTAGCCGCCCTGACCGTGAAGTAGCGCCTCCTGATGTCCAACTTAAACCTTCCCTCCGCCAGCTTGTGACCATTGTTCCTGGTCACTCCTTGCGGCGCTCGGGGGAACAGGGACTCCCCCAGCGCCTGCTGATCCCCCCT